TTCCACTTTAGATACCGTTTCATTGTCTGAGAAGTCAATGTCAATAAGAATCAAGGAGCCGGCAATTGACAACCTTTTCAAGCCGGATGAAGCATGATTCCTATTTGTTGGGGTAGATAGGACTTCTGTGTCGATGAATGTTTCTAACTTTAGGAATTGGGCGAGTTTCTGAATCAAATCTATTGACACTTTGAATTTGGGAGAGCACTCATAGATTAGACGAAGCGACTCACTAATGGACTCATTGTACGACGGCATGGAAGCTTATGTTCAAAAGCAAGTGGATTTTAATAACGTTTCAGAGGACCAGCACTGCTTCAATTTGAGACTGTAGACAGTTGAACGTTTATAGGATGTGCAACTTCTCATAATGCGACATGATGCGAAACCTAGGAAAAAAAACCTACTGAGGTACCAACATTTGAGACAGACTTCATAAAGATAACCCTAATAACTTTGAACGATGTCGTCGATACTTGGAAATGACATGATGGCTATCGTGGAACCTCTAGTGTCTAAAATGGAAAGAAGACAGCTAAAAGGGGACAAAGACACGGCTTTGGAAGTGGCTCACTTGTTGATGAGAGTGATTTCCGCCGCTAGATGGACCAATCCATACGACTTGATAGACCTCATAAGGAAAGTGGGTATTACGTTACACAAAGCCAGACCACGCGATGTTATTCCAGGGAATATCGTAAGAAGAGTGTTGGCGTTGATTAGAGATGAGATTGAGACGGAAAATGCCTCAGATAACACCCCCATGATGAGTTCCATGTTCAGCTTATTCTCGACTCAAAGCAATACAAAAAAGACACAACAAACGCACAGCAAGAAACAGAGCAGCGATATGCGTTCCATTATCATCCAGGGCATAAGAGACTTGCTTGACGAAATTTCGAATGTGAAAGAGGAGCTCGAAAACATGGCAACGGACCTTATTCACGAAAATGAGGTCTTGTTAACTGCTACGCCAACTTCAGATACCGTATTGCAGTTCTTGATCAAGGCTGGTGCAAAGAGAAAGTTCACTGTTCTAGTCACCGAAAGTTATCCTAATGATATCGAAGAAGCACACAAATTCGTCAAGACATTGGCGAAACACAACATCGAGTGCATTCTCATTCCAGACAGCACTGTTTTTGCCGTTATGTCGAGAGTGGGTAAAGTGTTAATCGGCGCGGGAGCAGTTTATGCTAATGGTGGTTGTTTGTCGAACGCTGGAGTGGCTAATGTGGTGGAGTGTGCCAAGGAACACAAGACGCCAGTCTTTGGAGTTGCTGGGTTATTCAAATTGTCGCCATTATACCCTTTCAACAGAGATGACTTGATTGAAGTGGGCAATTCAGGAAAGGTGTTGAACTACGACAATTTTGATTTTGTTGACAATGTTGATGTGGTGACTAATCCTTTAGATGACTACATTCCACCAGAGCACATTGATATTTACATTACTAACGTCGGTGGATTTGCGCCATCCTTCATCTACAGAATTGTGTTGGATAACTACAAGGTCGAAGACAATAGCTTAGAGTAATTCATGAGAATTAATTTACGAGACAAACTTCTTACTGTATTCATTACTACTCTTGATGAAACGATGGAAAAGTGAATGCGACCTTGTGACTTAAAAATCTGGAAGCATTTCCGACGTACAAAAACTAATTGGATAAAATTTCTTCAGCCTCTTCCTCACGTTCAAAACGTTGTCTTTCTGCCAAGCTTGATCTGTTCAACATTGCTTCCAATGCAGCACTATAGGGCGCCTTGTGGTTCTTTGCAGGGTTGTTTTCTTGTACTGTCCGCATGTAGTTTTCGTAGATGTTACCATCATAATATCCAATTGGTGCGTTGATCATCATGTCAGACATCATGAAGGAATCAGTCAAAGGTATAACATGCGGCCTGATCTTGGAACACAATTCAGCAATATGTTCAGTCGAATTATGAGCGATGGCCTCAGTTGTAGTGACAGAGAAGGTAAGGAAAGTACCCGAAAAGCCTTCCAAAATAACAGTAGCACCGTATAACTGAGCCAAAAGATCCAACACTGCAACCAAATTTGGCTGGTCTTTAGTAGCTTCGATCTTGTCAAGGAATGCTTTCAATAGGAAGAAATGTGCCAATAACTTCGACAATGTTACAAGCTCGGCACCAATAAAATCCGTATCTCCATTCTTGGATTCCAAAATCTGGTCAGCACGGATGCATGCCCTTACTAGAGCCACTTCTATCGCAAACAAAATTTTCTTTGGTTCCTTCAAGTCCTTGGCTTCCAAAACAGGGTTCGTACCTGCCAATTTTTCATAGCCTCCCAAAAAATCCAAAATTCCAGTTGCCTTTTCTCCCTTCTTAACAGCAGCAAATTTCTTGATCAATTGCTTTCCCACAGACATACCTAGGATGTTGTTGTCTCCTTCCCAAGTACATTGAACTGCAAAGTCGTTGAATGCTTTACCAAATCCGGAATAAGCCGAGTAACCATGTCCACCACAGGCTTGTCTGCATTGGTCAATAGTGTTCAAAGTCAACCAAGTACACGTTGACTTTAAAGAGCCCGAAGCAATAAAGAGAGATTTCATCTTTTCGACTGATGCATCTAAAGCTTGTTTATCTTCTGAAGACACAGCGTCGTCCAATTCATCCATTGTGGCAGTCGATGTTTCCTGCAAAACATTGGCTCCGTTGGAAAAAGCATACGTTAATGCCAACAATGGAATCAAACGGCGTTGATGCAATGGGTAATTCAATAACTGGGACTCCGGGTCCGATTCTTTCGCCAAAGCAGCTTTGAACTGGGTACGTCCAACAGCATATCTGAGTGCAATGGTCACCATACGGGCAGACCATCTGAAAGCATCTTTGACCATGATGACTCTACCAAGCAACAAAGCAGAGTAAGACAATTGGTTAAGAGGAGGCTCAGTAACTTCTCCATCAGAGGATACTTTACAGTATTTCTGCAACATGAAGAAACGAGGGATTTTGACGTTGGAGAACTGGATCCATCCATTGTCAATTCCGTCTCTACCCATTTTGGCGCCAATGTCACCAATAGTTATTCCAGGCATCAAATTATGATCTGCATCTCTTAAAGGAACAACAAATGTTTTGACGCCATAGTCCTTTCCTTTGACAATCAACCGAGCATAAACACAGCAGTGTGTGGCTGAATGCGCAGCACCGCCTATCCACCACTTTGTAGCACCTAAATGCGGAGTGTTGATAATGAATTCATCATCCTCTTCGTTGAAAGTTGCAGTGGTCTCCAAACCAGCAACATTTGAGCCGTGTGCCAACTCAGTCATTCCAAAACATCCATACAAGTTCTTCACATATGCCGCTTCCTTCTTCAATAACCAGTATTGCATTTGGTCGGCTGTACCGTTTCCTCTAATACAACCGAGAAACAACCCCAAGTGGACCCCTAGTCTTGTGTGGAAAGAAGGGTCAAACACAGATACAATGGACAACCGTCTTTCAAGACGATCGAAAGTTTCCACCTCAATGTAGCGGGAGAGACGGTCGATTTTCTGAATAGTGATAGCCCGATGTTCAGCCTTAGTGGCATCATAATCTTTAGGACTTGCAGCCATGACTGGGTCTCTTTCGAACTGAGATATGAAAAGGCGGGTTTCCATTGCACGCTCTTTCGAACCTTCTAAAAAGTAGTTCATTTCATTCAAGTCGAATGTTGCGGCATCTCTTTCACGCTGGATCAAGTTCTTTGGTTCCGGCCCTTGGCTGAACGAAACAGTACCTTTAACTGAAGCAATCAGACTCATTTTGAATTCTGTAGAAAAAAGTTACGTTATCGTGAATAAGACTGGCTTAGAGCGAACTTGTTCTCTTAAGTAGAGAGAAGCACTTCACATGGCAAGTCATAGACTCGTGAAAGAACATGTGAAAAACAAACGCGCCCCACATTTCGCGAGTGATGGAAAACTTCAGCATCGGACTTTTAAACAGGGCCGAGGCCGAATGCGACCTGTCACATACGCAAGGGCAACAGACTGTTTCAAGCAAGAAGATTTCAAGCAGGTGATCTGTCACCACCTTGCATTTTCATTAGATGATTTTCTTTCTGTTCTGGTCTATAGTTTTTCTCACGAGCGGAATTGGTCATTTTGTCCACGGATGAAGTGTGCATGTGCTGCGCATAATCAGTGTTTTTATGTGGGGTACAATGAGTGCTTGAAATGGAACCGAGTATTCGAGATGAGTATCAGCATATGAGTACATTCTTTTATTTCATTGTGACTGCGAAGGGGGATCTACATGAGATAGAGAATATTAATTTTTTTTTTATTGCGATACAAACAGAAGCTACGTATTCAAGACTACCAGTAACCTAAAACACTTAAGAGCTTTGCTGTTGCTTCTTCACATCGATGCTGACCACGTTCTCCTGGTCGCTAGTTTCCTTTGGAACTGTGATCACCACACCTTCAGCACCAACTTCAGCAGAAATGTCGTTGGGCTTTACAGGCTTCTCAAATGCCACAGATAAGGTGGATGAGGACGAAGAAGAGAACTTTCTGTTCTCGCCATCATCTCTCTCGCTCTTGTGTGACAAAGTCACCTGCAATTGGTTCTCTTGCTTGTGGTACTTCACATCCAAGTCCTTCTTGTGAGCCGAGTCGTCCTTGACTTGCACAAGGTACTTGTCTGGTTCCTCCTTCACTTCCAACATATCATCCCAATGCTTGAAGTCGTCAAACTTTCTCCAGAAATCCAAGGAGTCATTCTGGTAGTTTGAAGGAACCACAGCGCCATCCGAAGTGTCCTTTCCATTGATTGCTCTTCTTGGGCGTCTGTCACCATGGAAGAAGCTTTCATAGAATGGGTCTTCGAAGAATGGGTCAAAGTTGTATAATGCGCGCGAGTTGAATGGAGATCTTCTGAACATGTTTATGATTTGCTTTTGGTTGTTGAACTGAAGTGAGACTTTGTCCATAGATGGACCGGCTTTATATATTCTTCCCCTTGGTCATGATGTGACCTAGACCCTTGGGTGCGAAAAGTCTCGAAAGTTCAGGAAATCCGTTAGTGCGGTGGAGAACACACACTTACCACCAGGATCACGCAACTTTAGGATACTTCGGAATTCTAGAAACCTCCAATTTTTCTTATTGCCTCATGTGTGTTGCTTGCTCTCCCTTCCAACGTTTTCTCTCTGCTTCCTTAATCGCCTGAAATTGCAGATATCCGAGTATTCCGCGCAATACATGCACCCAAGAATAGAATAAAATCTTAGAAAATACATGTTCAGGGTAATAGGGGTATAATGATGATGTCAATTTACTACTAAGTATAGCTAGGTTTGTTGTTGTGGAGTGTTCTTCTCGCTTCTTTCGCCCCTATCCTCTGACGTACGTGGCATCGATCTTGGCCAAACTAGGACCCAAGTTGAGGCGAAGTTTCCGTCTGTAAGCCGTGGGATTAGATGTCTGGAGTGGGTTTCCTTCAAAGTAGACAGTATCTAGCTCAGGCAACTTTCCCAATTGCTCATTTACCTCCTCAAATGATGAAACTTGGTTATACGAACACCAAAAGTCTGTAAGTTTGGTGAGATGCGAAAGGTTCTCGAGCTTAGATATTCTGTTCGATGTCACATCAAGAACTGTGAGCTTTTTGTTATTGTCCAAGTTTTCGATTTTAGATATACCATTGTGAGACACGTAGAGCTCTTCGAGATTCACTAAATCCTCCAACCCTTCAATCTTAACAATTCTGTTCGACTGTATAGAAAGCACTCTCAAATTCACTAAACTAGACAAGTTTTGGAATTTAGATATACGATTCTTGCCCAACCATAATTGCTCAAGCGACGGAAGTGCGTGCATCGTTTCGCTAATTTCTTCTATCTTATTGCCCCCTAACTCAAGGTTTTTCAAGTTCTTCAACGTCTCTAGATTCTTTATTTCTTTGATTTTGTTTTGAACAAAATATAAGTTCTCCAATTTCACCAATTTATCAATGTTCTTGATGTTCTTGATTCTGTTAAATGAAAAATCCAAACTGGTTAAATTCACAAATTTATTGACCAGGCTGCTGATATGGTTGATTCTGTTATCATAGAGATCAATTTCTTCCATTGTTTCAACAGGTAAGTCGCCAATCGATGAGATGGATGTGAGCAAGTTCTGTCTGAGACAGAGCGATTCCAATTTCTGAAAGCGACTCAAGTGAAGGTCCTCCAAGCTTGAAATTTTCAAGTGAATCAAGTCAAGGTATTGGATGTCTGGCTCATAGTCTCTGGTCAAGTCAAAGTCAGCCTCAATTTCCTGGGGATGAGGGTCGGGCAATACTGTCCCAGGATACTCCACTGCACCATTATCTTTGTCATCACCATCGTCCTCCTCTTCTTCTTCATCAATGCCTTCATCTTCCGTGTGGGATATAGATGTTTCTTCCAAAACCTTTCGGGTTTTTGTAATCTCGTCTTCAATGTCTTTAGTCATTTTTGGAGTTGTAACCTAAAGCATATTTGCCTCCACATAAAAGCACAGGTGATTATATCACGTGATTGACAGCACCCTACGTTTTTCACTAGTTTTTGTTACAATCCGTAAAGGGAGATCGATTTGTTCAATATTTACGTCCATAAAGTGTACAGCATGTTGTTCGATGACAATTTCTCGGATAAAGCCTTAGCATGGCCCAATCGAGGAAAGGTGGCATACAAATAGGGCCAGGGCAGGTAGGTTCTTTTCATATTTTCTTCATTGATCTGTAATCTATGAATAAATTGCCAAACCGAAAAGAATATTATGCTCCCACTCGACCCACTCTCTCTTCATTGAATTATCAGGGATCAAACGGAAACGGTTGTGAATATCCTGCACACGACTTCACCAACCAATGGAATTGTTTGTAGATGCCCATTACTAGTTGATTCAAGGAGACCAGAAAGAAGAAATGTCTGCTGTAGTAATTGACTTCTCAAAAATAGAGATAGCAATGCTTAAACCTAGTTACTGCTCACCTCAATTATATCATTTGCTACGACATAAACAACCTGTTTCTTTTATGTACAGAATATTTATGTGAAGACAGAACACCAGTCAGCCCCAAATGGGCAGTAAGATATGTCAGTCGCTTACAACTTTTGTTCTTCTTCGTAAATATAGTCCACAGCCTGGCCAACGGTTTTGATCTCGTCAGAAATCTTGTCTGGGATCTCCAAGTCGAATTCCTCTTCCAAGGCAACCAAAGCTTCGACAGTGTCCAACGAGTCCAAACCCAAGTCCTTTTGGAAGTCAGCCTCCAATGTGATCTTGGACTCTTGCAAAGCAGCAACGGTCTTCAATGCTTCAAAAGCTCTGGAAGTAACCTCCTCCTTGGTGATTGGAGCGGCAGCATAGAAACGGATAGGTTGGACGAACTTAGTAACTGGAGCTCTAACAACAGGAGCACGTAAAGCACGGGCGGCAAACTTGAACATGATGGATTAGTTTGGATTCGAGGTATAAAAGAGTACAGAAGGTCAGGTTTTTTTTCCGTTTAACTAGGAGCGCACCTCTGTGCACCACCCATACTGGTAATCATTCTTCCATTTTCATCGGGCTCAAAAAAATGTGGACGTTTATTCTTTACAATTAAAAAACTAACGAATTTTTCTCCAGTTCAATGCTGTCCGTTTGTACTTGCGACTAAGAGTACCGAAAGTATTGAGACTAGGGTCAGAAAAGTTTGTAGAATCGGAGTTGGAAGACGTTTTAGAGCCTTTGCTCAGTGTTCTATGCAAACCTGTACCGGCGCCCGTTGACATTGACATGGTGCTTTCAGAACCAGTCATGGAGCTGCCAGCTTTTTTCTCCTTGACTGTATTAGAATAGTTGGTGCTGTGGTTATAAGCGTTATGCTCGTAGTCGGTGTTTATTTTTAATGCATCAATTTCCTCTTTGAAATTGCGCTTGAATAAATCAACCAATGCTTCTTGGGAGTTTTTCATACCATATCCAATCAATTTACCGTGTAAATGTAAACAACGGTTCAAGACTTTAGTCAAGTCGTAAAATGAGTTTCTCAACAATCTGATGTTATACGCATAGTCTGATTTGCCATCATAACGAGGATCCAAGAAAAAGGTGCGGTATTGCCCGATTCCGCCATTCACAGGCGCATTCACTGTTCCTGTCAACTCTCTGCTCAAGTCATGAAGTAACGATGAGTAATCCGTTTTTTCTTTGTAAGCAATGTTGATCATACTCTCCAATTGAACCAAGTCGTTAATCTTGTTGAGAATGGTACGTACAGCATTGTCCAATGGCGAAAGACGAACCACGTTCGTGCTCTTAATATCACTCCGATTCATCAATGTTGGGAACGAAAGTTGCGTCTCATATGTGACTTCTTCTGTCCACAAGTCAAACACAGAAGATGACCCTGGTATCTTCTTCACAGTGGAAAAATGTCTCAAGTTTTTGTTTCTAGCGTAATGACGTACACCAACAGACGTGTTCAACAATTTGTCAGAGATTTCATTCACTGGTTCAACCACATTAACATGCAAGTATCTTCCAGTCTGCACTCGAGCCTTGAGTTCACGAGCCTGTTCATCATCGGTGACAATTCTAGCTCCAGGATACAACTTGAGTAAGCGCTCGTGAATAGAAGTAATGTGTTCGAATGGAAGTCCCTCGAAGATTTGTTCCTTTCCTCTTATATTGACTGGGAATCCAGCACCAATATAAGCTACTCGGAAATACGATGGGCTCAACTTATCTGAAGACTCCATATCCAAGTAGAGTCTAGCCAACTTCTGATGCACGTAGGCAAAAGATTTCAAATCATATGTGTGCTGACTATAGGCTTCCAATAATTCATTGTATGTGTCTGTAGCCCTCTCTAAGCTGTTACCCTTAATATAGTTCTGAGCAATCATCTTCAACAAATCTTCCTTCCGCTCAAATGCAGACTGTTTGGGGAATTTAGGTCTGTAGGATTGGGGTAATTCAGTGTAGTGATCCCACTCTATCGTCGATGCCAACAATTCTAAGCACAATGCAGCTTGCACATAATTGGGCTTTTTCAAGTTATCCTCATACATCTGATTGATGAAAGAGTACAAGAGCTCGGATTTGTTTGCGTTTTTCAAGTAAGCTTTGATGTTCAATTTATGGAATGTGCGGTCATCCTCAAACTCTGGACCAACTGGAACATTGTTTAAGTCATTCAAAACTTCCATAAAGTTCGATAAGTTGGAAATAAATTGCATAATCGTAGAATAGACAACATCCTCAATGTCTAATCTTATTGTGGACTTAATTCGCTCTATGAAGCTGTTTTGCTCGTTTCTTCCCGGCTTGTAAGCAGTTCTATAATAAATTTCATGCAAACCAACGAGACATTCCCTTTCCACATCGACAATACCATCACTCAAAATAAATTCAGATACAAGAATAGACCAGAGCATTTTCACAGCAACTTCCTGACAGTTTGGATTTCTCTGTAAAGCAAAGAGCATCAAATCTTGAAGAATTGCGAAGTCACTACTGATGAATTCAACTTGGTAACCTCCAAATTTAGTGAGATGAAATCTCACAATGTCTTCTTCAGTGGAATCCCAAGCTAAACTGTCCCATGCTTCGTTAAGTATTGATGAAATACGGTCTCGCATTGTGCCGGTAATTTGGTAACAGGCTTTTCTGGGAACAGTTGACAAATGCTCGATAGAAACAGGAGCAAGTGATCCTAGTTTTAATAATGCTCTCAAGAAATTACCCCAGAGAGATCTATCGAACAAATCAGGGTTATCCACCACTGGAATGAAATGAGCGATCATGAGTGGTCTCACTAATTCCAAAGCCAGTAAGCAGCCCTCTGCCAACATAGCGTAGAGAGACAACCATTTATCTTCTGGGAAGAACTTACCTTGCCTGATGAGTTGAATACCTGATAAAACAGTGAGGAGGTCTTCATTGAGGCCATTATTGGAAGTACACTTCACTGGGTCGAAGAAGTCATCCTCAATTTCTGTATTGTTAATCAAATAGAAACCATCCATGCCGGCGGAGGTGATACCTATCTTTGCAATGTAAACGAAGATAGTTGCCAATTCAACAAGAACTTCAACAAGAACTTCCTCGCCGACTATATTGTCAATAACTATTTCTCTGAACGGGTAATCTTTTTGGAATATAGCTGTGAACGATTTTTTCGGCTTAAAGTACTCCATTCCTCTTGTGAATTTGTTGTACTTGATAAATGTTCTGGAAATTGCCATCAAGAATTTCGAAAGAGAGAAACAGATTGGCTTAACAAAGTCATTATTGATGTTATTCCACAAAGAACTGCAAACGCAGTTCAAAATGGAGCATGCCAATCTTGTGGCATCAATATCTAATGGACCTAAAAGCACGTCCATTGCCCAATTCACACTTTTGGATATCAACAATTTGAAGTTTTCAACCCTTTGAGAAAGCTTTGTACTAAACAATCTGTGAATTACTAACAATTTCTTCATTATCAACCTATGGTCTTTGGTGAGTAAAGACGCATTTTTGGTTTGGTTGGACTCTTCGTCAGCGCCAAGGCCCCTTGTGCCGATGGACTCAATAAAAGAAACGACCGGTTTCAAAATCTCTTGGTCATCAAAGTACTGCTCATAAAAGAGAACATAATCCACGATTTCAACCACCATAATCTGATCTTCAATGAGATTAGATGATTCAATAGAGACGAAGAAAGAAGTTGACTTAAACAAGGAGGAAATAGCTGCGAGATAGGGCTTCAGATCATTTGTGTTCTTAGCCAGGTCAAGTGCGAGTTTCACAATAAGAACTATGATCCGGCAAACTGATCTTGAAGTTGCATTCCAATTCGACTGAGCTCTCACAAATATCTCCGTCAACTTGTTTAATAAGAAAACACCAACAGCAGAAGAGTTGTTATTCTCGGTAAGGAATCTGTCAAACATGTACAAGTATTGGTCTTGCTTTCCAAAAAGAGTGTCAAGCAAATGTACTATAGCTTTGAAAGAATTGTCCAACATAATTTCATAATGTGGATCAGTTGAATTGCTGAAGCATATATCACAAATCTTGAAAATGGAAGACAATAACTCGGGGAAAAATCTCACCAAGGTAGAAATGTCTATTCTGCAGAATTCAAATAAGGCCTTGCTTAGCTCATCTAACCCAATTTGACCAGCTTTGAAGAACCGTTTGTATTGGAAAATATTCTCCATACAAGCTTCGACGTTGAAGACTTTGCCAATGTACTCTGTATGAATCTCAACCTGAGCAACAGGGTTTTTATGAGAAGGAGAGTTAATGTTCAAAGTGTAGAAACTTTTCTGATTGAACTCGATCAATTTGTTTCCTGATCTGTACATTACCTCACCCTGGCCACACAAAACACCGTTAACATACAAGGATAACAAAATGGCATCCTGCTTTAGAGCCTTCCTATTCGGGTTCTTGTTGCTAATACCATTGACTTTAACGATCTCGCCAACAACTTCACCCGAATAGATAGAAATGAACTGCCAGGTAGTATCTTCAATCTGGTTTGAGGCTTTAGCAAAAGTAATTGAGGGATTGTTTGGTGCACTTACTTCAATAGTAACCAAATCCTCCTTGTTAACGTTGGTTGAAAGATTGATTTTACCCACCTTTAAATAAATGCGCTCATAGTTTTCAGCCAATGGATCAAAGAAAATAGGCTTAATTTCCGCAATGGGGGCCGTCCTGGTAGCAGAGGCATTTGTAGGATCGAAGTTCACTTCCAGTGCGGAAACATCAGCACTCTCACTAAGCTGATGCTTGAACTCCATGATGTTGACCACCAATTTCTCCGCTCTCGGATTGATTGCAACTCCAACATTTGACCCACTGATAATCCGGTCCACAACTTCTCCCCAACCATTGTTCTCGATCTTATGAGTGTCGACTGCCTTCCTCTTCAGGACATATGATCCAAACAATTTGATCGAGAACTGATGAGGTTCTCCCTGAGCCAAAGAGCCGTGATTTCTTGAGAAAACTCTGGTGATGTCTGCAACACCAGCAGCGACACCTTTCTTGACACATTTAATTTGTGGGCTAGACAGATCCTTAGTAGGCAAGTTAATTTCCTCCGTCAAGACAGCAACCAAGTAAACTCTATTGTTTTCTACTTCACTGGCTGGAATGTTTCTGAACAATGCGGCACTGATCTTCTCAACGGAGACAAGTTCATCCACAGTATCCGTGTGAACAGCGAACGCTTCAGTCAATCTTTTCTTCTGATTTCTCACATACAAATACGCAATCATACCTGCGAACCCAGGTGGTTGGTAGCTCGAAGATCCACTGACAGACTTGAAATCGACCAAAAGGTGGGATGGGGGTTCATGAAAAAGCTTTTCATTTGGAGAAGGCTTTAATGAATAGGTCTCAGGGCTATTATGAGCATTTATGGGGAACTTGGGGGACAAAGCTCCCAACACTTGGTTGAAGGCTAATTGCGAAGCTTCAGCATTTTTCAAATTCAATAACGACCCATCAAAGGCGTCACGTGCAAGAATTGCTTTGTACCCAGAGATGTCTGTGTACTTGTTGTCCAAATCGTAGCTCTTTTCGTTGAGTCTTGCGGTCTTGGACGCCAACTTCTTGGGAATCAGACTTAACAAAAACGTCGCAGTTTCCTTTGAGACGCAAACTTCGTAGAAAGTTAAAAAGCTATCAGTCAACTTCATTCTAACCTCATCTAACTTGTGATAGATGCTTGAAAGCTCGTTGAAAAGTCTAAACTCTCCAATCGAGTACAACGCAAAGATATGCGAAGTCAACAAATTCATAGCGTAGGTGATTTCGCTCACTAAGTCTTCAGCGAAAGTAAAAGTATCAAAAGGCAATGGTGGCACAACTGCTTTCGATTGGTTCAAATCACCATCCATGTTTTGAGCCCCATTTGTGGCTTGGTTGAAAGACATCTCCAGCTCTTTTAAAGTTGGGGCAACAGCATGCTCAACGTTGACATTGTTGTACTTATCTGCAACCTTCAATAAGTTGAGGGGAAGCTTTTCGACAACCTTGACATACTTCAAAGGGAAAACTGAAATTTTGATGTTGAGACCGGGCAAATCATCCAAATTCACCGAAGTAATG